GGGCGCCCGGCCAGGGCTCCCGCCGGCCCCTCCTTGCCGGGCCGAGCCTGGGGAGGGGCGTGTGAGGGGAGCGAGGGACGGGCGCTCGGGAAGGGGCATCTCCTCCACCGAGGGGTGGGCCAGGAGGAGAGGCTGAGCCGGGGGGCTGCCCGCCCCGGCGGCCCCCACCGAGCCCTCCTTGGGTCTCCACGCCAGCCTCCATCTCCCCAGGCTGCCCCAGCCCCGTGGCTGGGCCCTGCCGGCAGCCTGCTTGCCCCTCCGGTGTACCCGGAGAAGCACCGCAGAGCCCTTTCCTCGAGCTCCGCTCCCGGACAGCCGGGCCCGGCGTCGCTCGAGGGTCCTGCCAGTGCTGTGCTTGCACCCGTGCCGGGAGCGCTGCGGGCCTGTGGCCCCACCGCACTTTAGCTAGGGCACGTCTCCCGGTAACGTGTCAAGTGAACAGACGTGCTGTTGGGAGGGCAGGCTGGCTGGGGGTGTGCCTGCTTGTGGCCGGCTTTCGCTCCTACTACAACTTGCACTGCGCAAACCAAGACCAGGCGGATCGATGTTGAGATGGCCTGTCCCCGATGAGATGTCACAGCTGCTCCGTTCAACATCAGAATATCCCTTACGGTGTCCCGGCTGTTCCCGGGCTTGCTGCAGCCTGAAGATGATCCATTTTCCAGCCCGTTGAGAGCATGTTGTTAGTTGTGCTTCTCCGTTGGTTTCTCCCTCTCTACCAGCTCGGGATTAAGCTTTACAGCCTCGCTGGCTTTGCTGCGCCTGCTACCGCTTGTTCATTTCGGAGGTGGCAAATCTCACCGCGGGCTGATGATGCCGGCTGCGGCTCTGTCAGAGCACTTCCCCGCCTGCCTCCCCTCCTCCATGGGAGATCCCCACGTGTCACAGAGCAACTACGTTATCCTCCTCCAAATCCCTCTTCTGCTGTGACATCTGCAGAACACTTGACTGAGATTAGTCTGTCATGCGGAGGCTCTTACCCCCCCCGCTGACCTGTGCTTCCCCTTCTGCGGCTGCTTTTGGCTGTGTTTCTTCCCTGCTTGTGCAGCCGGCAGCGGCACGGGGCGCCGGTCCGGGGCTGGCACTCCGTCGGACACAAGTAGTTCCTTGCTCTTTCTGCTCAGGCGCTAACTTTTCCATCACAGCTTTCTTGCTTGCGCACTGCCCTCTCCGATAGCGTTTCCAACACCTTCCGCGTTTCCAACACCTTCCACATTTCCCTGAAAAGGATTTTTCACTGAATCTTTCTTATTATTTTGAGAGGTATCAACGAAGCTAAAGATTTTGTAACTTCTTGGCGCAGCGTCCAGCTGCGGAGCTGGCGAGGTCACCGGCTCAGCGCGAGAGGATCGGAGTTCTCCCGGGTGCATCACGAAGTCCTGCCTGGACTGCTCTTCGGTGCCTATTTTTTTTTTATTTAAAGCAATAATTAGTGCTTTTGTCCCAGGCAGACAGCCGTGTAATGCCCTGAGCATGATCCGAGTGTTGTCCCTCAGGCCATTGTACACTTGGCCCCAGTGATGTGTGCTTCCTTCATGCCGCCCTGCTTGAATTTCCTGCTTCCTCCTCACTTGGCAGCGAGTGCCCTTGGATCAACACAAGTTTGCTGTGACAGCAGATGCAGACCGCTGTTCAAACAAGGGAACAGCAAGGAGCGGTGTTGCCTTGCCACAGCATTCGGCATGAATGAATGAAGCACAACTGAAATAGCCTCCAGCTCTGCTGTCAGGTCTTCGGGAGGATGCTGCAAGTTTGGCAGGGACTCAGAATCAATTTTTGAGCAGAATCAGTTAGGAAGCTGGAAAATTGAACATGACGCTGGGATAGATTTGAGGTGCTCAGGCTGCTTAGTGTTGAGGTGGCTCGATCGTGGTGTTCTCGGTGCGTGTGCAGGGAGAGGGTTCAATGAAGGGCTGCTTTACCAAGGCCAAATGAGATCTGGTTACCCAAAGCTGGGGCATGTCAAACTGAAACTGGAAACGAGCTGCAGATGTCACTGAGTTAACCATTGGAACCCTTCATCTTGGGATGGTTGGATGGGATTGCCCGAAATCTTTGTTTAGGTTTGAGGATATTTCTGCGAGAAATGTTTTAGTTTGACTGCAGGGATCAGTCAGCGGCAGGATTGTGTTCATGATGCTTCTGACTTGGGTTATGCCCAGAATCCGACCCAATGTTTGTGAGTAGCCATGCCTGGGCTTAATGGTTTCAGGTCCCCGCTTAAAAATGCAAGATGATTTCAGTTGCTGTGAGCTAACTATCTTCTCTCTCCTTTTGAGGTGTCAAGGGTTGTTTTTCCAGTAATTTGGACCTTTTTGAAGTGCCCGCTTGCCTAATGCCATGAATATTGCAGTGAACAATGTGGAAGAAAAAGCTGTCCATTCCTGGTCGAGAATTTCCTCTGCAGGACAGAAAGTGCTGGAGGAAGCCCTCCGAGTCTTCAACCCGATGTCCAAGGACCTTTCGGACACGGAGACCCAGCTGGTGGCCTTCATTCAGGGCCTGAAGGAGGAGGGCTACCAGCCCACAATTCTGAGGAGTAAGGATGTGTACGGGTACAGCTCGTGCACGGCAGACACACCTAGCCAAACAAAAGACAGCACCCCGCACAACTGCGCCGCTGCCGCCGAGTCCGCTAAGAGTCCGGCTCGAAACACTGCAGCTGCGGCAAAGGTGTCTGCTTCGCCCACCAGCGTTTCGGTGAACTCTTCGAAAGTCTCCGCTCAGCCCGTCTCTAAAGGGGATTCCACAAATCTCCTCTTGAGCTCCTTGAAGCAGACAAGATCTGGCACGTCCAAGGCCGCGGCAGTGGGCTTCCCTACAAGCATGTATCCTGACGTGTATCCAGCCATGAGACTGTCGGTGGTTCTGGAAGCTCTGGTGCCGCTGAAAACTACCGCGTCCCGTTTGGAGTCCAAGTACACACGGGGGCGTCTTGGGATCTCGCCCTCGGACCTTAAACTCCTCAAGGCTTCGAGTCCGCCGAGGCAGTTTTCTTCAGGCAAGGCCGCTAAAATAACAGAAGGTAAGGGGTACAAGCATTTGATAAAGAAAGCACCGGATTCTGCCACCCTCGCTTTAAATCTCCTGAAGGGACCAAAGGGTGGAGTGCTGCAGGAGAGCAATGCTTGCAAAGCCTCGGGAGTCCTCAATGGGAGAGTCACAGGCAGCTCGTCCCAGGGCTGCACCACAGCACAGCAGTCCAAGACCTTGAAAATCAAAAATAAGGAACCTCTGGTGGGAAAAACAGAGTGGAAGGACAGCAGCACTTACCGGGAGAGTGCTGGGCAGAAGAGGAGAAGAGCTACGGAGGCAAGAGAAGCACCGCAGAGGAAGAGAGCAAATACCATTCCTGTCCGAAATAAATCTCGACGGGCTCAGAGCACTTTGAACCTGCTGAAATTCCGGGCCATCAAGGTGGGCAACTCTTCTTCTGACGAAGAAGTGAGGAGGAGAGCACAGAAGATTCTTAGGGTCAACCTGTCCCCCGTGATCCGAATTCAGCCCTTGTCCCACTCTCACAGTGTTCCCTGAGTTTCTTCGCTCTGTCACTTTTTTTTGTAAGTAAGTAAATACGAGCCCGGCACCAGAGCGTGGAGAAGTTTAAGAGCGACTCTGGATCTCTGGTGCCTGGTGACGATATGTCGACTAACCTGCAGACGGAGCAGCCTGCTCTCGCGCTGCTTCTGCCTGTCTACCACTGCTATGCAGAACTGACTGCAGAAATACAAAATCCTGTTCAGGAACGTGGGACGGTGACTCACCCGTGGCGAGCCGAGCAGGTCGGAGGGCTCGCTTCCCGTGGGCGCTCTTCTGAACGTGGCAGGCTGCGCTCTCGTGCAGGGGGAGAACACGGGCCTTTCTCATGACATTGATGCACTGTGATACTGCTCTTTTTCAAGCTGTACATTTACTGGTTTTATTTTGATCAAATTTTATAACTTTATTATCTATATATCTATATATCCATATATGTGCATATCACCTAGGAACTGTGGGAAGATGCACTTCCTCCATCCCTCTGGGATTGGGTTCGATAGCTTTTGTTCCCCCTCTCCTTCAGCCAGTCTTTTGTTGAAAGGTGCCAGGATTTCTCTGTGGTTCAGTGTTGTGACTGTCTGTTCTGGGCTCTCTTGAGCAGCTCAGAGGCAGGCAGAGTTATAGCCACTTGTTTGTCTCCAGAAATGCCAAGCAACTTGGAGAATTACCAGCTGATAGTTGACTATAGTTTTAATAATATTTTCGGTATTACCTCTGCATAAGAGTGGGGGAGTGTTATGGGGCTGTTGCCTCCAAGTCTGCCTGACATCTGTAGGTGCCTCCTCTGTTTGTTGGTAGCAGAAGCTCTGAACTCATGGTAGGGGTTTGCCTCCAAAGAGCGATTCCTCCTCAGCACCCGGTGTCGCTCCGCTCTCCTGTACCCCACGTGCAAACGTAGAACATGAACTGTGACTGTTAGAGCTGAAGGGCTGGAGTTGTTAATAAGAATTGCATAAAGTGTCCTGCCCACCACGTAACTGCTTTGCTGTTGCTGGGTGTTTCAGGAGCAGGTTCTAGGTGCCGGTAGAGAAGACACAGGCTGTGTTTGAATGTATTAGATACATCTTGCCGGTCCCAGAGCTCAGTGGGGTATTTGAGCCTGAGTTAAAGAAGAAAAGCGGAAGGGTTGAGAGGATATATGCCAGCACTTAGAGGGTTTCTTTCTGTCAGTTTGTGGGGGCGAAGCAGTAGGAGAGGAGATCGGCACCGTGTTGCGGTGGGTGACAGCTTTGCCGTGCCATCTGGGATGTTGCGAGAAGGTGTGTGGCAGGTGTGAAAGCTCCCGGGGCGCAGGCTCTGCCCGTCCCCAGGAGGCACTGCGGAACCACTGCAGACGGCTGTGCCGGGGGCACGCTGTCGGATGGGAACGCAGGCAGTGCGCTGGCGGAGGTTGGGTCTGCTCTCCGCAGGGAGGGATCTGCAAGCTCCAGGAGAAACACCGTGCTGGAGCAGTCGGTGCTGCAGCTGTCACCTGGAAGGGACGGCCTCCGGTGATCTCCATTGGGATGCTGCAAAAGCAGAACCTGGCGGCTTGGGGAGAGGGAGCAGTGTCCAGCCGGGCACGGGCCTGGCTCTACGCTGCCATACATTCAGATCTCTGCAGCAGTGAGCCGGTAATCCACTCATTCTCTCACCAGCTCAAAATACCAGTTGTCTGACCTCGTAATCTCTGTGGACGTTGGCTGAAGGGATGAGCTCCCCAGGGAAGCCCCAGCCCCAGCTCCTTATGTTTCAGCCCCTCCCTAGCACCTGGCTGGATTTCAGCGCTTTGTAAAAGGGGTCAGCATCTGATCCCCAGCTCAGAGAGGAAAACCGTGGCACGGAGAGGAGAGAGGAGGTTCATGAGAGAGTGAGAGGGCAGGGAAGCTGGGTGTCCCGAGGCACAGCCGGGGTTCTCCCCCCTCGCCCAGGTAGGGCAGGGTGGAGACTCTCCCTTGGGGGATGATTGCAGGTTCTGTGTGGTTTTACTGTGCGTATCTGAGCTGCTGTCGGAGATCATAACTTGCAGTGTTTGAGACTGACCTGTGAATGCCGCTGGTTGGCTGCAGAGGAGGAGGAAATATTTCCTTCTGCTTCTGTGTTTTAAAATGCTCTGGCAGAGAGTTCCCTGTCCTGACATGATGCTGGATGAACAGGGAGCCTCCATCACTGTTAACCGGCCAAAAATTGCTTTGTCCCTTTTGTCCCCATCCTTCAGACCTTTCTCATTCCCACGCTCTCAAATGCCAGGTCTTGAAGTCTTGCACTGGAGTTTCTCTTTTTGGCTGTTACCCGAGGAGGGCTCTGAACTCCTGCCTGCGGCATTGCTGTCTGACAGGCTGCTCAGCGGCTTCCCCTGCTCCCAGCCCCATATAAGGGCACCGAGAGCTGTCTCTGGAACCTCTTCGTGCGGCGCAGACATCCCAGCTGAGCGCCTGGCCTCCGGTGGGAAAAACAACCGTGCATCAACAGGGCTGAATTTGGGTCGAGGTTACTTTTCCTCCAGCCTGAGCAGGAAGCTGAGCACCTGAGGCCAGCTTATCGGGCCACATCCCTCCTCTTCGCTGTGTTTCTTCCCCCAGCTGCGCTGCTGCCTGCCGCCCCACTCTTCTCTGTCACCTCTTGTCTTTCACAGCTTGGGTCTTTGCCAGTCAAGGAATTGGCTTGTACTGTTGCTTAACACATCCAGCAGAACATACTGCCTTAGTGCTGCCGTGCCTTTCCAGGCACTGAGCTGAGTTCTGCAAATGCTTGGTGGCGACGGCTCGCCCGGTGTCCTTCCCAGGCCACCAGCAAGAGGTCTTCTGCTCTGCAGGGAGAGGCAAGCATTAGAAACGCTTCTGTGTCACTGAGGCTCCTGCCAGGGAAGCGAGCACCCTGTAGCTCTGTGCTCGGGGACTTGCCCGTCATCAGTCCAGTCTCTGTCAGCTCTCCTGCATGTCTCTAACAGACCACAGGGCCCCTGAGCTACTGGGCAGTGCTGGAGCTCGGTTCTCTGTCCTCCTGATGTCTCCTCTTCCCCCTCGCAGGTGATTTGGGAACTTGGCCAAGGATTGCAGCTTGTTATTCACAGGGGGGCTTTACAGCCCCTGGTGTCAATGTCGGCAACTGCTGCCTGTCGGCTGTTCCCAGGGAATCCGGTGCTGGCAGGCGGGGTGCCTGCAACCTCTTGGTGGTTGGCTCTGCCATCCTTCATCTCGTGGCCGGGTGCAGGTGCTCCTGGCATCTGGGGCCTTCGACACTGATGTGCAGGAGGCTGCAGGAGGGACTGTGCTGTGGACGCTGCTGTCTGGTGTTTAGGGAAGATGAAGGGTTTGAACAACCCAGACCTGCCTAAGACCTGATCTAACCAGAGATCTCCCTCCAGAGGTCCCTTCCACCCTGTGTTACTCTGTGACAGCAGAGTAACGCTTGCCTTCCAGGGACCTGCACAGCAGTAACTGGCAGGGCACATAGAAATGCTTTGCCTGGAGTGCTGTGGTCTCTGCTGAGCGTGCTGTATGCAGGTTGTTCAGACCTGTTTCTGTATTAGTCACTTTGAATTCATCCAAGTGCCTAACCTGGCCTATGCTGTTCCTGGGCACCATGACAGCCGAGAGCTTTGGACACTCTCTTAGGAATGCTTTTACCGCATGGGTTTGTGCCACTGACACTTCGAGAAATGATTCAGCCAGCGGTCAAAGGGCTGTTCTTCCAACTGACTTTGTGGAAATAATTTCTCCTTTTATTCAGCTGCCAAGAAGCAAGAGTTTATGCTTTGCCTCCACCAGACAAGGTTCTTGAGCTTCCTGCATGCTTCAGATATCCGTCAGCGAGGTCCGTGGGGAGAGCAGCTTGTCCGGCAGGCAGCTGAAGGGGAAGCTGACATCGGATACCAGTTGAAATCACATTGTTAATTGGTAGAAATGTTTTGAAGCTCATGTCCACTGTGATCAAATTTCACCTTCTGCCGCTACTTTCAGTTGGGGAAGTTTCTCCTTGGCCTCTTCCCTGCAAGCCATGTAGCGTGGTGCTGCTGCTTCCAAACTGTCTGCGTCCCCCCCAGAGCCAGCTGCCGCAGCGATCCTTGTACAGAATTTCTTAAGCACTTTTCTGCAAAATAAGAAGGGATTATTTTGTTACTCCTGTTTTGTAGCCCACTAGTGGTATTTCAGTGCGAGGAGGAGGTGTGCTCTGTGGAGTGTTGTCAGCACTAGTGTAGCTGGATACTTCTCAAACCAGGGCATCACCTGCCCAGCCTGCAGCACTCACGCTCACAGGGCCTGGGGGGCGGTGGGCTGAGACCCCTCGTTGCCTGGTGTTTCCTTGCACAGAATTCAGCCAGTCACCAGCTAAAAGCATCGCAGGGAAGTCGGGAGCAGAACAGCACAGGTGGGTGATGCTGCACACCTGGCTCCGTGGCCCTGCTCCATAGCTGCCCCTGTTCTGCCGCGTGTCCTCCGGGCCCCCCTCGCACACCAGCAGCACTTCTCCACCGGTGGAGCTGGTGGAAGTCCCCCAGCTCCAGCTGTGGCAGGAGGGGCTGGGGGGCTTTGGGTTTTGGGCTTGAGCACAGAATTTGGGCCCTTTCACTTGTGACTTTTGCTGTGTTCATGGCCAGACCTTGCCAGCATGTTGGGGGGTGCAGCCACTCCAGCTGCTCTCCTCCTTGGTTTAAAGTTCCCTGCCCTGGCTGGGAGCTGGGCCTTTGGCCACAGCACAAGGGACGCGTGGGGACGGAGAGCAGGTTTGTCTCTCAGCTGCAGCTGGACAGTGTGACGCGAGCTGGGCAGCTTCCCGGGCAGGAGGGCAGGTTTAGGTGGGAGGATCCTTGTTTTGGCCGTGGTTGGCAGGGTTGGTGCCCAGCTGTGTGGAGCACCTGCCACTCAAGCAGGTTGGTTGGTTTGTGTGGAAGTGACAGTTTCTGTTTCAGTCTTCAAAATGGCACTGGCCCATTTGCTCCTGTTGTCAGATGGGGATGGCTTTCCGGGAGCTGAGGTGGCCTGAGGAGAGGACAGCTGTTCTGGGGCACCTTGCACCTTCTCGATGGTGCTGCAGTCCTTGGCTTTGTGAGCTGGGTGGGCTGGCACCATCTGTGAAGAGGGACAGCAGGGCAGGTTGCTCCCAGGCCCTTGTGTTTGGGGCTCTGTGCTAGAGAGCACCATGCTCGGGTTTCCTTCTTGCAGCCTGCTCCTGCCTGGAGCTGTGTGCCATTAGGAAGGTGCCGAGTGCCTGCTGGCTGGTGGAGCAGAGACCTTGTCCCAGAAGGCAGGAGAGCCAGCCCTGAGTGTTGAGTGAACCCTGTCTGTGGATGTGACTGTGCTAGCACTCGCAGCTTGGCCAGCTGCTGCCTCCAAAGCCGTGGTGCTGAGGCCAGACCCCTCAGTTTGCTTAGGAAGACCGAGGAGGTCTGGTCAAAAAGCAAGAAGCTGGGATTAGGGGAAACCAAAGACGCCAGCAGGGCCTGGCTGGCCAGCTTCTGCTTCTGCTGCAGGAGGAAATCTGCAAACAGAGGAGCCAAGTCTGTGGCGTACCGGTAGCACTTCTTCCACTCTGTCCCTGCCCGGCTGACGGAGCCTGTCCTGCCCTGTCTGGCAGCACTACACAGGCACTGGTGCTGCAGGCTCTGGGGCACAGGCGAGGGGGTGCCCTTTTGGAGCAGGTGCCTCTCCTAACCCTTGGTTTCCATCCTTCATCGCTTGCACAGACTGGCCCTGCTCGGGTGGCCGCCGGAAGGTAAGCCGCTCCCTGGCTTGCAGAGCCCCCCCTCCAGTGTGTGCTGACTTGTACCCTCTGGACGCCCTCGCAGAGGGGGAAGCACTTCCTCCGGTGAGCATCCGAAATACCTTCCCCTTCGGGGACGATTAGGCCTTGCCCCAGGGAGTCCCTTAAAGGCCTTATTATCGTCTGGGACTCTCTCCTCGTTGTCTTAATTAGCCCTTTCCGTTCCTGTTGCTACAGGCAGCCCCTGTGAGAGTCTGGTGATTCCCACAGGCACAGTCAGGCACGTGGTGCTGTTGTAAAAGAGAAGGTGCTGCAAAGCTACCCCCAGAAATACCTCCCCTCCTGCCCCTGCTCTGCCACGCTGCCCAGGCCTGGGACGGGACAAAACGAGTGTCAGCGGGGAAGGCACGGTGTGTGACGCCGTTCCCTCCGCCTGGTTCCCGGTGCAGCACTCCTGAGGAGTAGCATTTCCCGAGCAGAGGCACAGCAGCCGCTCTGAGGGACGCGGGGGCTCTGGGTGGGCACTGCCTGGCCCCTTGTGCTCGTCTCTGCCAACCATCGTCTCTAAGAGAGCCGTCTCCACACCGCAGCATGACTGACCTGCTCCGGCTGGCACTGGTGCCGCCGGCTCAGCCACGGGCATCCCCCAGTGTTCGGGGGTCCTGAGTGACGGCCGGGGAGCAGCAATGCAGTCCGCGGGAGGGCGAGTAACAAACTTTTGTATGGTGAATTTACAACAACTGACCATCTTGTTCTTGAGTGAACTTTTTACTGTTTCATTTGTTTGTGTAGAATGTTTCTGAAGCTATATTAATATTTAATGTTTAATATGAGGCTGGGCTGCTCCACACTCAGTGTTGTATATTTTGGAATGGCATTGTTTAGTGAAAAGACAGTGTTAGTATTATTCCGCTCTTCGGAGGGAATGGGACAAAAACCAGACTGTCTTTTTTCTTAAATGAAGTGAACTTTTTGTTATGAAGTCCTAGCAGGTGTCCAGCCCTTCAGTAAAATGGTGCTCAGAACCGCCCAACGCATCCAGCTTTTCTTTGGGCCCCGCCAGACTGCTGCTCCTTCCCAGGGCTCCTGCTCCCAGCCCCGTGTGAGCCCCATGAAACGGCCTCTCCTGTGTGCCCAACTGCTCCGTGGGGCACGCTCAGCTGGAGACCACCACCACCTCTTCCCCCCAGTCTCCCCCAATGAGGTTTGGGGTTACCCAAGCCCCATTAAAGAATGCCTGGCTGAGGATGGGAGACGCTCCAGATGAGTGCCACTGGTGCTGAACTGGTGTAAACTGGCATAAATCCGTATTCCAGGTTAGTTCCTAGAAACACGCCGGGTCAGCGCTGCGCTGGCAGGTGCTCTGCCAGCTCCCGCCTGCCTGCCCACCCTCCGACTTCTGTCTGGATCTGCCTGTTCTGCAGCCGGGACCCTGCGGCCGGCTAATTCAACAGAAATGCCGTTGTTCACCCGCGTGCAATCCAGCTGCGGTTTGTGCCACGGGGCCGTTGGTGCACTGACCCAGCACTAATGGTGGTGGGACCATGGCCCCGGGCAAACACCAGCTCCAGTGCCGGAGCTGGTTCCTCAGGCAAGGAAGTGGTTAAGCGGTTCTCCCGCTCGCTGAGGATGTTCAGGGAAGTGTTGGCCGCCCGCTGAGCGCACTGAAGTCGGTCCAAGCAGGGCTGGCCAGGCATGAGAGACTGCCCCAGGAGCTCGGAGGCTCTGCTGAGGCTTTGGGGGGCCCCTCCTCTGCGTGCCCCAAAGCGGCGAGCACTGCCGGTTCCCACTGCCGCCCCTCCGAGCTGTTCGATCTGCTGACAATGGCGAAAGTGCTCTAATGGCTGCTGAAAGGTGCTGGTGGAGCCGAGGCCATGGGTGCCTGAGGGAGCGGGGGGTGCTCAGCAGCTTTGAAGCGCTGGTGATGGAGGGCTGTGGCAGAGCTGCTGGCAGATCTCCAGCCAGCGGAGCTGCCCCCGGCTCTGTCATCTCTGCGGGCAGACAGGGGCCACCCCCACGCATTCAGCTGTGGGGCGGCTGGGAGGATTGCAGCTCTGGGTGGGAAGTCAGAGCAGCCTTCGGGGGAGCCAGGAGGTGCCTGGACGTGGGCTGGGACACCTCACTTGTCCCGCAGATCCCACTGAGGATCCCTCCCTCCCACTTTTACCTTGCTTTTCAGGGCTGAAGATCCTGTTACAGTCACCTTTATCAGGCCACTTTGGATCTCCTCAGAGCAGATAAGGCTTGCTTGGCAAGATCCCTGCGATACAGACATGCTGGCCAGTGCTAATGGCTCTTTATCAGCTCATCTCCTGCCAGCTCTCCTAGCCGAGGAGGTGGTGGTGCCTGGCCACCACCCTGCGCTGCCGGAGCCTTGCCAGGCACAGCCCTGCCCTTCCTCTGGGTTTCCCAGCGCCTGCTGAGAGCACAGCCATGGGGAGCTGGCAGGGCTCTGCCCACAGCATCCCTCACCCCACCGAGACACGTGGGACCAGTCTGCGCTGCATCGGGGTGTCCCTGGGGGCACGGATTTTGGCACCTCCATGGCCAGCAGCCTGGGGAGCTGCTGCTTTGCCCGTGACCTTGCTTGCCGGTGGGCGGCAAGAGCGCAGCCTTGGCGTGGAGAGTACACAGCTCCTCTTCCTTCCTTCGGCCTTGGCTAATAAAAAGCACCATCCCTGTGTGACAGTGAGGTCTCTGTCGAGCCTGGCCCCGGCGCGCAACCGTGCTCCCCACAGGGCTCCAGGGCTGCCGGCTCAGCACCCAGCCCGGCTGGTCCAAAGGATCCCAGGCAGCACCGATCGGCACAGGGTGAGTGGGGCCCTGGCTCAGGGCATGATGGTGCCCACGGGAGGGGAGCAGGATCCATCCGGCATGGGTGCCGGGGGAGTGCGACTGGCTGCCGTGCCGCCCCGGGGCTCCCAGTGCCGCTGCTGGAGACGTGCCCTGAATAGGTACAGACAAGCCCGTGTGGTGCAGGGTGAGTCCTGGCCGGGTTGCCTGTTCCGGCGGCCCTGTGTACCGCATGACCGGGCACGGCAGTGCTGCGGGGATGCCGTGTGCCAGCTCCCAGCCAGCCTGGGCACGGGGCACCACCGTGCCGTGCGTGGGCCACCGCTGGCTTGTACCTGGCCTCTGCCTCACCTTGGCTTAAAGCTCGGTGTGGGCAGGTCCCTCCCCTCGCCTGGCACAGCTGCCGGAGGAGGAGACAGGCGCTGGCCGCCCTCCTCCAGGAACAGCAGCCAAGCCCAGGCCGAGCTGGCCGACTCTGCAGCCCACCCAGGCCACCGCCACCTGCCCGGCACAGCAGGCCCCGTGGGCACAGGTAGGAGCTGGCATGCCAGCGGGGAGCCCCGGGGCACAGCACAGCCCTTGGCACGCGGCACAGCCCCGGGGCACAGGCCGGGCGCTGACAGCCGGCATGAGGCAACACACAAGGAGGTGTGGGGTGTGGGCAGGTCCCTCCCCGCACAGCTGC